TTTCTGGCCATGTGCAGATATAGTCATCTGCTTCTGTTTTTAGGGCATCATCAGGGCTTATCTGTGGCTTTAATACTCAGATGGGTATGTATTTTGGTATTTTTTATGCTTTCTGATTGCCTCGAGGTAGATGTGATCAGGAAATGGACTTCCCTTTTCACTGTTCTTTCTTGAGAAATTTCAAGATGCTACTGTTGGTCGTTTTGACATAACTTAGGATTTAATTTTTGGTCTATTTCCTTTTTTGTCTGCTTGTCCCTCTCCACAATCCTTGTTAAGGCCTTTTTTCTAGTTATAAACAGTTCAGGGCCAGCTGTGGCTGTTTGGGTTTAATTGGAAACTATCTCTTTAAATTTCGAGATCTGTGCTCATGCTTAGTAGAACCCTCCGAGGGTGGGGCTGGGGTGCCCATTAGCTCAGGCACCCCTATAGTCACCTGAATGGAGGTGCGCAGACAGCAAGGGACCAATGAACAGCTACAAAAGAGAAGAATGTCCACACCTTTATCTCTGTGGTTCTGCCATGCGCCTGTTGCCGCTCCGATCCTTTCCCGCTTGGTGTCACCCAAGATGGCGGCTCCTGGAGCAGCTGAGCATCTCAAATTAGAAAGCAATGTATTTCTTGCTTCAACCACAAATTCCCCCAGCTATAAGCCTTCCAACCTTCTAAATATTCCTTTATATGTGGTTCAGAGTTCTGGAACCATCCTCTGAGCCTTCTTGGTCGGGTATTCTGTGTTGTTGCTGGCGGAGCTCCTTTACTGCACTTCCACCCGATCCGCCATCTTGTTTGTTCCTTACTCCCCTCTTTTTGTTGCAGAACTTTTACCTTATAGTTGTGACAATTGTAATTAGTTATGATAGCAGTTACTCACTATTGAATCATAAGCATCTTATACCCGTATCATTTCACCAGACCTGTGTAGACAAGATGAAAACTATTCAACGGGGACTCTACCTTCCTCCACTTGCACTTAAACTAAACTTCCTCTTGAAAACTTGTAAGGCAATTCGCTTCATGACATTTTTTCAAAGATTTTTATTGTGGATTGAGTGAAAGTTTACAGGGCAGATCATCAATTTGACATTCAACAAGTCGTACATCTTGTTTCATTACAATGATTATAATACCCTCCATGTACCATCAGTTAACAGTATTTCTCTCTATTTACTTTAGCTTACATCTCTAAAGGACACATTCTGCAAGTCTGCCTCCTAGCCACCAGCTCTTAGTACTTCTCTTTCCATGAATCTAGAGTCCTCAGCTGCTTCTCCACTCCATAACCCCATCTCTGCCTCTGTTTCTGGTGTTGCTGCTTCTCTGGATAAGGTCCCATATTCCACATGTGCTCTTCTTCCTTGATGGTCCTAGGGTCCTCTGTTTCTGGATTATAAAATTAACCACTCCCCTGTTTTTGTTACAAAAATTCTACCTTTACAATTGTGACAATCGTAATTAGTCATAATAACAATTATTCACTATTGAATCATATGAATCTTGTCACCATTTCTTTTCACCAGGCGCATCTAGACAAGATGAAAACTATTCAGTGGAGACTCTTTGTTCCTCCCCATACTCTTAAACTAAACTCCCTTTTGAAACCTTATAATCCAGTCACTTTGTGCCTTTATCGCCTCCTCATTTTAGGTAGCCAGTGTCTCAGTTGCCTGTCCCTATCTACCATGTGTACGGAGGGGATAGCATTGATACTTGATGTGAAGACTCCTTCCCTCTCTGTTGATATTTATAGTTACTGACTCTATGAGTATAGGTCAGGTACATCAAATTGTAGCAATTTACCCTTGTTTGTTCCTTTATCAAAAAAAAATTTTTTTTTTTTTTTTTTTTTTTTGTAATTTTCCTTTAGTCGTGTTCTAATTATCAAACCATAGAGGCTAGGTCAAATGGGTACTGTCTGCAAGTTTGGATGTTCTTGTCCATCTCCCCTCACTTCATATCAGCTGGATGATTCCCTCTCGGCTCTAGCCCTCTGTGGCTGTGACCTTGGCCATGAGTTCAAGTGTCCCCAGGTCTCACCACACTTTGGACCAACCAGCCCTGCCTCTTTTCTCTCTCATCTCCAGGTCAATGAGAGTCAATGGACTGTGGTTGAACTCAGCCCATTTCTTCATTGCTGTCTTTCCCCCAATTCCACTCACCAGTAAACCATTGTGGTCGCCAGCAAGCTGACATGCTTGTTTGTGTGCTCCCCCTGAATTTCAGTCTTAGAGGGGAGTTTGTCCTGAAGGAACTTGATTGCTTGCCTTGATGGCTTCCTGATGAACAGCTTGCTTATTCTTATAGTAGCCAGTATGCTGACCTTTTTGTTTTGGGTTTTTCCTGATGATCCTTCTTTGAAGATATATCTTCTGTTGCTCTAGCTATTCCAGGCTGCTCTGCTTGTCCTTGCTAGTGGGAATATCCCACCTGTGGACTTGTGTGATTTTTTCCTTTTCCAGAATGCCAATAATTCTAAAGTTATTCCTCTTCATGTTGTCCAACATGAATCTTAGACCTTCTTCAAATTTTTTAAAATCTTTTTTTGTTCTTGCTCTTCTATCTTAATAGTGTTGAGAGATTTATCTTCTAGGTCTAGTTCTGGCTTCTATCTCTTCCATTCTGCTCCTTTGCCCTTTCAGCGTATTGTCCATTTCTGATACTCTATTATTAATCGTTTGGACCTCTTTCTGTAGGTTGTTTCCAGTGCTGTATCTGTCTTATTTGATTGTTCCTGTCACTCTTTCCTGACTTCTTCCTTATTTTTCTTAACTCCATTGTATAGTATTTGGATCCATTTTATAATCATTTTTCTGTATTCTATCTCGGGCATTTCCAGAGCCTATCCATCTTCCAGTACGGAGTGTGTAGGTCTACTTCCAGCTCATTTGTCTCAGTCACTTTATCTTGTTTCTGGACATGTGCTGATATGGTCATCTGTTTCTGTTTTTTTGTGCATATTCAGGAGTTTTTTGTGGCCTTAATACTTAGATAGGTATGTATTTTGCTTTTTATGCTTTCTGATTGCCTCCAGATAAATGTGATTAGGAGATGTGCTTCCCTTTTCACTTGTCTTCCTGAGAAATTTCAAGATGCCACTATTGGTTGTTGTGATGTGACTCGGGATTTAATTTTTGGCCTGTTTCCTTTTTAGTCTGCCTGTCCTGCTCCAAAACCCTCATTCAGGGCTTTTTCCTAGTGATAAAACAGTTCAGGGCTGACTGTGGACATTTTGCACTGCCATTTGGTATTAAGTGGAAACTGTTACTTTAAATTTTGAGGCGATCTGTGCACATGTGTAGTAGAACCCTCCAGGATGGGGATGGGGTATGCACTCACTCAGGCCCCTCTTTCAGTCACCAGAATGGAGGTGTGCAGACAGTGAGAGACCAATGAACAGATACCTAACAAAAAAGAATGTCCACACCTTTATCTGGAGGGTTCTGTTAGCTGTCTCTGACTGCTCAGATCCTTGCCCTGTTTGGTCTCACCCGAGATGGCAGCTCCAGAAGCAGCTGAGCGTCTTGAATTAGAAAGCACTGGATTTCTTGCTTCTGCAACAAATTGCCCTAGTTGTATGCCTTTCAAACTTCTAAATATTCTTTTATATGTGGTTCAGAGATCTGGGACCATCCCCTGAATCTACTTGGTCCAGTATTATTTGTTGTTGCTGACGGAGTTCTTCTATGCACTTTACCAGATCCACCATTTTGTTTGTTCTCCCCTTACTTCATGACTTTTTAGCCCCCCATTTTAGGTAGCCAGTTTCTAAGTTGCCCATCCCTATCTACCTTGTATACAGAGGGGATAGGTTTGATCCTTGATGTGAATACTCCTTCCCTTTTAGTTGATATTTTGAGTTACTACATACATAAGTATAGTTCATCAAATTGTAGCAATTTACACATTTCCTTTATCAAATTTCTTTATCTTCATCTAGCTGAGTTCTGGTTATCAAGCCATTGAGGCTAGGTAAAATGGGTACTATCTGCAACTCTGGGCATTCTTGTGTGCCTCCCCTCACTTCCTATCAGCTGTACACTTTACTCTCAGCTCTAGCCCTCCATGGCTATATCCTCTGACAAATAAGTTTTGATAACTGCTTTTAAAAGCCAAAATATGTGTAATTCTCTTTTGTGTTAAATGGAAATTAGAAGGAACGTGGTAGATATTTAGGACAAATAGAAAAGATGGGTCAAATAATTAATGCTAATTATTTTGCTGAAACTGAATTATTCTTCTGTGTCTTCAGTTTGAGAAGCATTCCACTGTGATGGCAGAGGTTATCAAGATGCAGGAGCATCTGAAAAAAAAAGAAGACCTCATCGGCGACTTGGAATCGCAGCTCAACCAGACCCAGGCGGAGCAAGCTGCACAGGTAATGAGTGGAAGTGTACGATAATGAATTATGGAAGCCCAATGAATTATTATAAAACAAATCAATTTAGATAACACTTTAAAAACATTAGGAAATAGAAGTTTAGTAGCTAAAGTATTGGCAGTAGAAATTGGGAGGAAGGTGTATTTGGTAAGTAGGTATGTTACTAGGGGTCATCATCTAACTACTAGGAGACCTCACAAAGTATTTGCTGACTTTTTTCTGGTTCTGTAGGCCCAGAAATTTTATTTTAATAGCATATAGGTTCAGGCTCATAGGATTAGACAAAAGCTAACTAAGCTTCAAAAAGACTATGATAGATAAACCAAATGCATTTTAAAATGAAAATTAGAATTACAAATGATTAAGTCCATTCTTGCCAGAGCTTTGGACAGGTTCTTCCTAGTTCAGTCATGTTGGCAAAACAAAACCAGAACAGACCTAGTTTGTGAAATGAATATAGTAGAATAATAACCAGAATGGGAAAAATTTATCAGTGTGGTAGAAACTTATCTTCATCTTAGTAAACCACGTTGTGTGCATTGGGTGGCAACCATATCTCTTGACTAACTGAGTTGGAAACAATGGAAATAGAAATAAATTGATAAATTGTGAAATGGTAGAGAATTTTTATTGTTTATAGGCTGTGTGTATGTGTGTGTGCTTATTTGAGTGTGCTATAATTTAGAAGCCTGAAACTCACTGTAGCTGAAAATAGCTGTCTGGGGGAGGTGGTGTGAGTTTGGAAGCACAGTAAGCTTTTTGTGGTTAAAGCAACTCTTTGAAAATAAGATTAGAAAGATAATTTTGAGTATGATACATTCACATGAATTTTAACTTAAAGGATATGTGAACATCATTGAAAAATCTGAGCATGAATGTGATTTGAAAAGAAGTGGTCTATATGACCCTTGACTACCCCGTAGGCTTGGAAAGGAACTCATGGCCCAGTTTTAAGCCAAGCAGTAGATAGGTATATAGAGGGGAACAACAGCACTGGTGAGATATGCTCACCATTAAATGGTCAATCATTCAAAATCAAAAGTCTGCAATATTTAACTAAGAACAAAATTGAGAAGGGTTGGGTAAGTGGGTGGAAGGGAAATGGGAAACAGAAAGGAAGTCGAGGGGATTGCAATTATTGAGATGAAACTGTATGATGTAACACTGATAATTTTGTCTGTATACCTTCACTCAATTCACAATAAAAAGTTTAAAAAAAGAAAAGTCAACTAGGACTTAATAAAATCTAATTTCATTTTCTGTGTTTACCATTCTAGTCTCTTTAGAATTTCAAAACATACATACTACTACTTCTATCTTTATTTAAAGCATTTCTCATAACCATGTAAGTATAATTTTTAACTGAATTTTATATTTAGGCTGGCGTTTGGATTTGAGAATAGCTTTCTCTCATGTTTGGAAGTTACTGTCAAGTCTATTTATCTCTCTACTAACATTCTCATCCTTGACATTCAAATATTTTTTTTTTCTTAAAGCTACTACTGTTTGTCAATTATTAGAGTCTGTCTTTGGGGATTATTAGTCTGTGAGTTTTGTTTGTGCAGTATTCGGGGAGTGTAACTTGTATAGTTTTTCTGGTGTGTGTCTTCAGTTGAGTTCCATGCAGCAGGTGGTCCGAGAGAAAGATGCCCGCTTTGAAACACAGGTTCGTCTTCACGAAGATGAGCTTCTTCAGTTAGTAGCCCAGGCAGATATGGAAACACAAATGCAAGAGGTGTGTTGCTAAAACTTAGTAGAATGATGATCATTTTTGCCTAACATTTAACTAAATTATCATAGCCATTTTTCCATTGCTCTCCTCTTGGTCTTAGCATGCTCTAAGTTGGCTTCTTTTTGGTGTCCTTGACTTCCTGATGCATATTATCCTTGTTTTGCCTTTTACCCCTCTAGTCAGGTTGTTGGCACTGA